GGAGAGAAACATCAATGACCTAGCAAATTGGTTCTTTGATATCACTGAAATTGTAAAACATAGCCAAAATGGAGGGGAAAAAAAGACAGGACCAATTATCAATTTTAGAAAAGAATGAGACATGGCATCTCTGCAGAGTCTACAGGTCTTAAAAGGGTAGTAACTTTATGCCCATAAATTTGACAACCTAGGTGAACTGGAAAATATCCTGGACAGACACCATCTCCAAAGCTCACTCAGGAACAAACAGATAGCCTCAATACAAACACACACACACACACACACACACACAGCCCTGTTTTCCATCCCCAGCACTACAAATAGTAGTGGTAGTAATAATAATAATAAATGAATGAATATAAGTTCATTAATTGTAACATACCATACCATATGATTAAAATGTTAATAGTAGGGAAAATTAATAGGATATGTGGGGATGCTCTGTACTATCTTCACAACTTTCCTGGAAACCTAATAATATTCTAAAATTAAAAGTATAATTTTACACATAAGTTTCCCATAGAAGGTTTATCCCAGGAATGTAAGGTTGATTTAATTAATTTAATGTAATTCACTATATTAACTAATAATTTTTGAATAATCATTTTAATTGCCAAAAAAGCATATGGCATATTTTTTAATGTTTCTAATTAAAAACTTGCAGCACACTGTGACTTTCCCTCAATCTGATCAAACAATCTATGAAAAAACTAGCATTGACATCATATTTAACTATGGAACCTGAAATGCTTCAGTCCGATAACCAGGGCCAAGCCAGATCCACTGCCTCAAAACATTTCTACTCAATGTTATCTTGAAGGTCCCACCGAGTGCAAAAAGTCAAAAGAAATAAATAGAAGAAATAAATAAATACTCAGACATACCATATAGGCAAATTTAGCTACATAACAGGATATAAGTTCAATATATGAAACTCTAGTGTGTTTCAAGCAATAAAAAATGCATATTAGCAATGGAAATATGGGGAAAGGGAATTTTATAAAATTGCAATTTATAACTCCTTCAAAATTATGAAATGTCCAACAGGAATGAGGGGTCCCAGGGCATACTCTGCCTTCTCCTTCTGGCCAGACTGTCATCTCCATGGAGGAGCCCAGGGTAATCATGACTATGGAGGAACAAGAAAACAGCCTGTTGCTAGACACAGGTGCAAGTCTCTCGGTCCTTCTTTTCAATCCTGGCCTTCCTTCCAGCCGTCACACCTCAGTGAAAGGAGTCACTGGTGAGGAGGTAATACGCTATTTTTCACAACCCTTAGGCTGTAACTACTTGTTAGATCTTTCTTGCGTATCTCTGTCTTCCTGAGAAACCACTTTGAAGATACCACCATGTATTACAGCAGCCACTGATATTTTCCTACTAATCTGTCCATAACTCTGTAATGTTTGTATTGTTCCTATGCTATTTCATAAATGGATGTATGTTTATTACTATGTGTTTCCTACAACAATCATTGAGAATAGTCAATGATTATTCAATTGGTCACTCATGTATAGCTCTATTTATTTCCTTTAGAAGCCACTTTGAAGATACCAAAGTACAGTACAACGACTATTGATAATCTCCTACCACTTCTGTGTGTAACTCACTATTATTTGTCTATTTGTTTTCCTGAGAAACTATCTTGTAGATAACAATATGTAAAACAACAACCATTGACAATTTCCTACCACTTTGTCTGTAATTTGGTAAGCCCCCCTATTACTGTTATCCTTCTTTTACTTTTTAAAATAATAAAAAAAATTATGAAATGTTTGGTGACTAGGGGAAACTGTAGAAAGCCAAATACTGAATGCAGTAAAACAATGCTGAGGGAAATGAAAGCCCTAAATAAGTGGAAAATAAAATAGATTGTGTTTAAGATTGTAACATTCAGCATCATTCTGCTATCAATTTCCCTACAATAATCTGTAAATCAACCCAGTCCAAGTCTGAATGTAGTTTTTTTTTTTTTTGGTAGTAATTAAAGAGATGATCCTAAAATTTACATGTAATGCAAAAGAACTGGAATTGCCAAAACAATTTAGAAAAAAAAATTAGAAGACTGACACCACCTGACTTCAACCTATGTTCAAGGGACAACCAGGTCAGAAAATGATGATTAGGAAGGACTTTTACAGAAATTTTTGGCAAGAGTGTGAAGGAGGTAGAATGGGTTGTGTTCACCCTATTTCACATCAAAGAAAGAGAGAAACACAGATGGGAGCAGTGAGAGAGAGAGAGAAAGAAAGACCAAGTTTACTACCACGATAATTAAATTGAGACGGTGACTACGGCACGGGTCTTAGTATTCTGGCTGCTGCACACACCTGAAGTGACTGCAGAACTTATGTGACCAAGGTGTAACCAGAAAAATCACAGGGCCTGCCTACATTTCCGTCACAGGTAGAAGCAACTAAGTGTAAATAGCAGCAAAGGAAAACAAGGTTGGGGGCATTTGAGGAGTCCTGCATGATGAAGTGATGATCATGCAATGAATACTCATCTTTAAAAAATGACGATTATAAGTAAATTGGAAGGGGAAGGAATATACGAGAGACTGAAGAATAGAGAGTAGAAGCCTCCTCTTCCACATCAGGAAATCATTATATATGACCCAATACCAAAAACTCAAGACATAGTAATGTATGCATTATATTTAGAACAATGGAGTTAAATACCAAATTAATAGCAAAAGAAGTTGAAATTGGCTCCCTCTGAGAGCAGGAAATCAGCCTTGGAGAAGGACAGAGAGGGAGACAACTGCTTTTCATAAATAAAAATCTTTGTAGTAACATTTTCTTTTTACATCTTTGTCCAGGTTATGCTGATAATTTTTCGTTTTTCACTGAAAAGCCCCTCAGTGGACAGTGCTAATGTTGGACGAAAATTCTATCTGGGCTGCTGTGCATGTTGTGGAGGAACCATCAGGCATCTAATGGCAAATAAAAGAGCCTCAAATTTATCTTCACACTGCACAAAAAGTAACTCAAAGTGGACAATGGACTTAAAAAGAGCCACAGAAGAAAACTGTATCCTACCAAGGCAAAGAATTTTTAGATTCACAATAAATGCATATAAGAGAAAAAACTGGTAAGTTGAACTTCATCCAAATTAAAAACTTTTGATCTGCATAAGATCACTTAGGACAGCAAAAAGATAAGCTAGAAAGGGAATACACTTGCAAAGGACATATGAATCAAAGGACTCACATTTAGAATGTATAAAGACTTCTCAAAACACAACAGTAAAAATTATAAATAATCAAGTAGAAAATGGGCAAAGATTTATTTCACCACAGAGGATACCCAGATGGCAAATAAGCACATACAGAGATGTTCAAGATTGCTGGGGCTGGGATTTAGCTCAGCGGCACAGTGGCCTGCCCGGCAAGCGCAAGGTCATGAGTTCGATTCCTGGTACCAAAAAAAAAAAAAAGATTGTTATTCAAATGACAAGGTGAAGTGCTGGCAAGGCTGTGAGAGGCTGAACTGCTCATACACGGCTGGTAGGGATATGAAACGATACCATCACTCTGATGGCTTAGCAGTTTCCTTTAACTTACAAAAGAACTAAATATTAAGAAAATATTTTAAAGTAGTGAACTATAGCAGAAAAACTTTGGGGACAGAAAGAATTTTCTCAACAGGGGATAAAATGCAAAGTCAGAAGCAAAAAGGCTGATAAATTTGATCACATCAAAGCAAATGAAACAAAGCAAATAACAGCAACAAAAACAATAAACAAAAACACTGCCTAGGCTAAGTGTAAGTGACAAAGTGGAAAAAATTATTAATATCCCTATATGTAAAGAACTCTTATAAGTCAGTAAGACAAGCAAATTACCGTAGCTAAAAGGAAATGAATAAATGACATGAACAATTTACATGTGAGGAAATACAAATGGCAAATTAAAACATACAAAAATGTTCATTGCACTACTAACTACAGAAATGCTTAAATTAAGATTGAATGCCGCTTTTTACTGTCAGTGCTTAGCAAACACTGAAATCCAATGGCACAAGTGCAGGAGAGCAGATCTTCACACACTAACAATAGTTGGCCGTTCAGATGGTCGCTGGGAATGTCTACCGCCATATCATTTAAGATGTGCAGGCGTTCTCCCTCAGCAATTTCATTTCCTAGAAAGACTTGCTCATCAGTATATGGAGTTGGATAAAAGATATGCATTGCAGCAAAAAAGTGAACGCAAGCTTAATGTCAACGAATAGGGTTATAGCATCTATAATGAAAAACTGTGACGCTGTTAAAAATAGTTGGGTGAGTCTGTCTGTATGCATGACATAGACACCATATCAAGAAACAGTATGTGTTACATAACGAAATGCAGAACAATATTCCTTGGATGACCTTGCATTTACAAAACAGAAAATAATTTGAAACTATATGCTTATATATAGTATACACATACACAGATATGTACATACATGAATAGATGTGACAGTATTTATGCCGAATGGAGGAGACTGGAAAAGAATAGGTGATCACTGGAGATAGGATGATTTACAGCATTTGAATTTTTTCTCAGTTTGATTATCTGGCTCAAGAATATGTCATTTGTCATTTAAAAATTAATGATGCAGTACTTACAGTGGTGACTACCATACAGCAAGTGCTTGATGAATACTTACTAAAGCTTTTAAAAAGTTAATAAAATATTTTGAAAGCATTAACAACTTCAACATTTAAAAAAATGTAGCAACAATGCGTCTACCTAACTGCCACCTTAGAAGGCATTAGAAAGTGATGGCCTTCTTTCTGCTTCTAGTTTTCAAAATCTGGTATAAGTGCCTAAAACCAGGAAACAGGAAAAAGGGGCACTGCTGAACAAAATAAAGGAGGATTTCACAAAACAAGCACAGAAAGCAATCCAGGGTCTCTGTGGATGCAGACAGAAAGGCCCAGCAACAAGCAGAGAACGTGTGTTCCCAGCAGAACCACCGGAGGCACTCCAGGTACACCCAGGATAGTTAGCTCACCTGTCGTCTTTGCTGTAGTAGCGGTGGAAAGCCCATTGAGCTCACTAGGACTCCTCCTCACTGGCCGGGGCTTGAATTCTCGTCTGGGGACACTAGATGCAGCCGATATCCTGTAACACATATTGGAAGCCGAGTCAGTCACCTGCCAAAGACAGGAAAGCCTGCAATACACCTTCATTCTGTGCTGATGAGCATACCAGTAACCTAGGTTACAAGTGACATCTTACACACTGATTCCCAAGTAGTCCAAAGTGATAGAGGCGCTATCGCAGATGCAATCTTCAGGGTACCCTGCTGAGCACCTTAGTGAAATTCATCTTTAAGAAAACTACCGTATCTGCCCTTGTAACACCCCTGAGGCACAGAATAAGGGGCCTCAGCAATGCTAGCCGCCTTTTCCTTCTTATCCCTCTGCTAGAGAAAGTGGAGAAACAGCGCCTCTGACAGCCAGAAGTAGAAATTCCACAAAAGGGACACACATTTTGTCTTCCTCTATTATGACACCATTGACTTAAGTGAAATCTCTCCAAATATATTCATTACCATGATACGGTATAAAACAATTTTCTGTTATCAAAGCTATTTCAAAACACAGGCAGGATAGTGGTTTAAAAAAAAAAAAACAACTAATATTTCAATTAATAGGGTTGCTGTGCATACTATATATAATATTACTAATTTTATGAAAAATATAGAATACATTGATCATGAAAGCCATAGGGCACAAAGCAACATTTCTTTGATGGTTAGAAGGTATAGATGGCTTTTTTAGTATTTCTTAGTGTCAATCATTGAATGCAGCCTGATACTTTTACTGGTGACGTGGCAATCCATCTTTTCTGTAGATATTTACACATTTCCTGAGTATCATCTCAGTCTCCTCCATGCCCCTGGGTGCTGGGGAGAGGATTACATCACCGCTGCCAGCACAGCTTGTGAACAGGGAGCTAAACTCCAAGCAGCGAAGCTGGGACTACTCAGGAGATAACCTGCAAGGAGGGGGGCCCCTCTGTCTGGCTACTCTAAATACAGGTCACAGCACAGGGGCTTTCGGGAGAAGAAATAGGAGAGAAGTTGCTAGAGATCCTTTCCCATCTTAGTCCCCTCCCACATCCAACCATGACAGCCGGCTGAACAAAGTACAAGGGGCACAGAAAAGGGAATATTGGGAGCCAGAGAGACTGACAAAAAGAGAGAGAGAGAGAGAGATCTCCATTGCTTCGAGCTCGGTGGCCCATGGCTGGCAGGAGCAGGAGGCCCTTACCGCATCTGCAGCTTGCCCTGTAGATCCTGCAGGATCTCTGTGGACTGTTTGTGATAGTCTAGTGCAGCTTCCACAAACACGGCCAACTGGCTGACTTGCTCTACCTGCAGCAGAAGGGCAAAATTACTCCACAGAGGCCAGAGTGTACCCAGGGTCCAGAGACAGGGGCGCAGTGACACAGACCCAGCCTGCTGGGAGCCTGCATCTGCCTCGCTCCAGGTGCAGGTCACTCGGTTCCATCTTGGAGCCCTGCATAATAACCATACAGGTCCCGGCACGGAGCTGAAGATGGTGGAAAACCATCTTCCAATTTATGTGATCGTGAATTGGGTATAACTCTACAAAATGCCTTCTTTGCCACTCAGCGATGATATTCTTGGGGGACTCTTATGCTTTATAGCTCGTGGATCCAGAAATGGAAAGAGCAGTCTTTTCCCGAGACAAGCAAAGCCAACATTTACTAAATGAGCTCACTTAGTAAAGTGCTTCCTGGGGCACTTTCTAGGTAAAGAAATTGAGAACTTGAAATAAGAAAAGGGTACAGGGTACAGCACACTCCAGGGTGAAGAACTGCCAGCCCCTGCCCTGCCCCCAGTTTAGTTGCTACTAGAACAAAATATTTTCCCTGAAACATACAGCAGAAAGGAATGAAAAGACTGGCATGTCTCTTTCCCACAAATCGGCACATCAAAATGAGTGGCCAATTTATAGTGGAAGTTTTTAAATTTTTTTTTTAAAAAGGGCTCTGTTGTGTGAGAAGTATTCAGAAAACCTGGAGATGCATGATTTGAGGAAGAGTAACCTTTGAGAGGACCTGAGAGCTCTCCTGCTCTCACCTGGCTAAGGAACTTCCCCGGAAATAAGGGGTAATTAAGCCTACTTCTAGCAGCCATGGAAGCAAGCCCCAGAGGGCTGCAATGTCCCCCCAGCATGAATCCCAGGAACTCCAGGTCTGGACAAAGGCACAGATCAAAATCACTCTTCCCAGACTTCTGTAAAGCCTCTGTGTCACACTCCTACATCCCTTTCTAATCAGCTTTAGGGCAACCGAGTCTGTCAGGTATTCATTCAGACATTCGCATCCCACGTCACAGCCTCGGCCTTGCTTGCCTTAGAAGATCCAGGCGGTTCCCATGCGTTGTTGCAAACCACTCTCTAGTTGCCTGTTCGCTCATTTTCCTTACCCACTCATACTATTCTAGACATGGGCTCAGTGTACACTTCAGATATACATGGAATGCTGCTTGTGCCAAAATGTGATTAGCATGTGAACAGGGAAACCCACCCTATTACATTTCCTTTACCATGCTCGGTGGCTGCAAAAGCAAGAAGGCTGGCCTTAAATTTCTCCAAACCCAATAAACAAAACAAAGATAGCTCAGCCTCTATAAAAATCCTAAGAATTTCTTAAATTTCACCTCTTTGGCTTTTGCACATGCTTTTAAATAAGTCTGGTGTCATGGCCTAACATGACTATGGCAGAATTTGCTACAATTTCTTCTTACAATTTAGGCTGGAGTTGTGTGCTTGGTAAAATCTGTGCCACACCTCTCTGTCTTTGGTAAAATTAACATGTCTTCTTTTATGGCCCCCTTTGATATATATTGGCATTTATAATTTTTAAAGGAACAAGAGATAGCTAAATAAATATTCCTGAAATGTATGTGGGGCTGGGGGCAGGGACTGGGGATCAGCAGCTCTTCTCTCTGATGTGGCTAGGACACATGACTACAGGACCTCGTAATGAATTTGTAACTGAATCTCGTGGTAGCTTTGGGCAGCCAATAGATCCCAGAGCCCTTAAGTCTTGGGGGACATCAGTGGCGGTGCACAGTGTTTGCACATAGCAGGTTCTCAGCACAAATCCCGGAAAGGTACTTTCTAGGCCAACTCTCACACTAACTGCAAAAATACACGGGTTCACCTTATCTTCCTCCTACTTCCAGGAAATGGGACCCTGTGGCTCACGCGCATCAAGCTGTGTGCCGGGGACCAGCAGAGGCACCTTCTGCTTCCAAAGCCACAATGAACTAAATACCTGCACAGCAGAACTAAGATAAAGCAGCAAAGCCAGGCTTTGCAAGAACCCGAACCTGTCGGGTAGCTGAGAAATTTCTCCTACTGGCCATACCACTCAACTTGACAAGCTGTGTTGCCACAGAAGGTGAGAAGAAAGGCTGCAGCAGAGGCAGAGCTGGGAAACTGTGAACACAGGCTAGGGAAAACTCCCATGACACCTACAGAGGACAGTCACCACAGAATTACCTCCCTCCCACCTCTGGAAGCGAGGTGCACCAGCACCCACTGAGACGTGCAAAGGGAGAAACCCACAGTGCACACTGACTTCCCAGGAAACTAGAGAACCATGAAGCCCAGGTGATGTGGCTGACAGATGCCCAGGCTGGGGCCAGGAAGGGGCCTGGGAGATCTGTGAAACTGTAAACTCAGAAGGAGCTTGTCGCAGGCAGAACAGCTGCCAGGATGTCCAAGTCCTAATTCTTCCAACCTGGGCCCAGGTTGCTGTGCAGAGCAAAGGGGACTTTGCAGATCCCACTCCATTAAGTATCTCGAGATGAGAAGTGTATCTTGGCTTATCTGGGTGGCCCAATGTAATCCAAGGGTGCTTCAAGGGGGAGACAGGAAGCTCAGAGCCTGAGCGGAAGATGTGACAGCGGGAACACAGGTCATAGCACCGGGTCTGAAGAGGCCCTGCTGCTAGCTCTGAAGGCTCAGGGAGCTGAGGAATAAGCCCAGCAGCCGTGAAGCCCAAGCAGCCTCCAGGGGCAGAAAAGGCAAAGAATGAGACTCCAGCAGTGCCTCCAGGAGGAAAGCAGTGCTCATTCCCAGTTCCCTGACTTTAGGACTTCTGACCTCCAGACTGAGATAAATTTGGGTTGCTTTAAACCATGCTGTTTGTGGCTATTTATCACAGGAGCCACAGGAAATGAACACAGAGCCACGCTGGCCTATTCTCAAGCCCAGGACAATCTAATGACAGGCTGGTGCTGGCAAGGGTCCCTTGTGACTCAGGCACTGAATATGTGGGGTAATGAGGCCACTGGCTGGGCCTGGGGATTTCATTGCTGCCTCAGCCCTACCCTGAACCTCCTCACTCTCTTCCCATGCACAGGAGGAGGATGACCAAACGGGTGGATTCAAGTCCTCTCTGGGGGTGTAACGGCCTGTGTGTCACCTGCAGATACATCTAACTCTGTAAGTCCCGTTAGGTGCAAGCCAATGGATGACTACCTACTATAGGACACTGGTAGGACTTGGTCCTGGGGATGGAGGCCAATCAAAGAGGTCCCCACCCATGGATGAAGGTGCCAGAAGTTCCCAGGAGCTGTGGAAACCCCAGGCACATCAGGATACGATCTGTGCCATTATTCTGGCCTCACAGACCAATTCCAAAGGACTTCGGCTATACTCAAAGGAAGAAGGGTTCAAAGGAAGGTAGCCTCCAGGAAGGTCCCTCCAGGTCAGTTCTCTACAAAAGAGCCATGGAACCTGGGACAGCTGAGAAGCAGGGCTGTGACACCTCCTCCTCAGTGTGGTCAGCAGCCCAGGAAGTGACACAGGCACATTCTGAAGGCCATGGTGGTGACACAGAAAGAACTGCACTGAGAGTAGGTGACACTTACATAGATGTGTCCATCCAGTTTCACAACTGAAAGGACACATTTCCATTGGAGACCACCTTCAATTAGGTTGAGATAACCCAACTCCTTATTGCTCTATCATATCAAAGACCTCTGCTCTTTTTGGATTTCTCAGAGAGCTTGGGAAAAAATTTCTCATGAATTTTGCAGTCTGCTCATAAAGATGCCTTTTCCCAATGGGTCAAAAAATCTTCATTCAGAATTTCTGATAAAAAGCCTAAGTATACAATCAAATTATGAACATGGATAACAATCTTTAAGTTTTCATTATTCACTTCATACTTTATATTTTTTTCTCCAATGAAGTTGCCCATTTGCCTTACACCTGTCTTTCCTAGGGCCACAAAACTAAGCAAAAGCAAAACCAGAAACAGAATTCAGGTCTCTTACTCCTGGCTGGGCACACTTCTGCTAGCCCAGTACTTCCTGAGGTACCTTAATCCCCTCTCACCCGTCCCCTGAAATGTCAATCATCACAACAATGTCAAGCAGTTCTGTGGTTCCATGAGTCTGGTAAACTGCCAACTGCACCTCTCTTAGTGGTTCCTGAAAGCTTAATCTTTCATATTATCATCTGTAGAGATTCTACAAAGTGACGAAGAAATGTGGTTTAGTTTTGTTCAGCTGCAGAACTTCCAGGACTTCCCAAATCTATTTGACCATAGAGGTTTTATTAATGTAATACACACTAACAGCCTGCAGGCTTAATTCTTTAAAATGTTACTCTAGACCAATGGCAGAACTCAGGAGTCTAGAATTCCACTGGTCTTGGGAACCCATGGATGGAAGACCTCTGTGTACCAACAGAGCAGGTAGATACTGCAGGGGTTTGGCCTCCCCGGCTGAAGTCATCTTCTATACCACATCTGTAGTTCCTGCTAAGGTCAAACACCTACATTTGATAGTCAAGTCATGAAGAATAAACTTCTCTGCAAAGACACGGAGGAGAGAGTGCTAACAAGCCCATAGGTGATTTGTTGTTTCCAGGAAACTGGGGTTAAGGCTCAGCACACATCTGCTGACTTTCTTGTGGCCCCACCTCAGAGTCAGCTATGGGGACACGGGGCCCTTCTCCTAGAGCACAGCTACCCTAGCACACATCCGTCAGTCCTAAACTTGGTCCTCATGGGTCCCCCAGAAAGCCAGAGGACCGAACACCCCCCGCCTGTAGATCAATGAAGCTCTTCGGTCTCAAACAAGAAGTGAAATGAAGCTCAGGCCTCCAATCCTGCTTTACTGTCATTATAAGCAAAGCCTTCAGTGTGGGGCTAATGAGGCTCTTCTCCGCTCTCCCGTTTCCAATTCCCCTGAAAACACGTGGAGGGTCTGCTTAGGGGTGTGATGGCCAGAGCAACTGGATGCTGCAGAGAAGACAGGAGTGCCCTGGCTGTGGCTCTGTGCTCTGTGTAAAGTGGTCATGAGATCATGTGTGCATCTGGATTTCTGTCCCACATATCCCACTTTCCCTGTGGTGCTCCCAAGGTCTAGACCCGGGCCCAGGAGAGCTCACTGTACATTCATCATGGGCCAGGGCCCCTGCTGCCCTTCCTCAAGCGCATCTGAGGAGCCTGTCCTTTGGCAGGGTGCTGGCGCAGGGTCCTTGCTGGATCCCTGTTTGTTTCTCAGCTATGAGAACACAGATGTGAAGACAGAGGAGCAACCACACCATGGAAACCCCTACCGATGTCCTGTTCACCAGAGAAATCCTGGGAAGGGTTAGATAACCTTGCTGGGAGAGCCAGGAAAGACCAAGTCTGTTGATACTGGGTTCTTCTCTAATCATGTAGAGCTGTGGCAAATCATGTTTTCAGGCATTCCCAGGTGAAGCTTCTATTGCGCCTTAGTCAGGATTGGGGGAGGCGCAGCTGCTCCCTGGGGAGTGAGATTCTGGCCTTTCAGTTGCTGGTGCCAGCTTAACGTGGGCAGATGCCACCAAACACGCCTCTCCACCAGCCTCCCTCCGCTCTGCTACCCTCTTTCTTCACCCTCCCAAGTTCTCTTCCAGCACCCTTCCTGCTTCCTACAGATGAGCCTGGGGACTGTCCCTAAGGAAGAAGACGGTGATCCCATCTCAGTGACGCTCTGAGCAGCCAGAGCCCTGTAGGGGCTGTGCACCTGGTTTCAGCATCGCAGACTGTGTGTGGGTGAGTGAGTCAGGTCAGCTCTCCACTGGGGCTGCTCCCATCCACTGGGGTACAAGGACTTGGGGCCCATGCCCTGTCCTCCAGCCCAGTTGACAGGTCTCCATTTTCCAGGTAATGGGCGTTCTCAGCAGGGAAGATCCACCCCTGGATTCTGCCCTGGCTTCGGCATTGTGTTACTCAGAACCTAGAATTTTGTAAATGCTGCTGCATCTGACATCCCCAAATCTCTAGTCTGCAACACAGGCGCTGCCCAAGTGTCTGGAAGAAGCACCAGCACCCCTGCTACCAGCCACCATGCTCCTGCCGAGGCCTCCTTGATGCTGCATGCACCTGCCTCTAGCAGGGCCCTCCCAGGTGGGAGCACTGTCAAGTCCTGGACTTGTGGATCCCCTATGTTAACCCTGGGAGTCAGACAGGTCCCAGTCATTCTTAGTGGGGCCACCATCATTTCCTGAGAGGAAATCCAGCTACTACCAGCCTTCCCCCGGGAAAGGAGCAGACACAGCTGTGAGGATACATGGCAAGGACTGGGCATGAGGCTGCGGGTGAAGAGGGAGCAGAGTCCGAGGGCTGCAGAACCCCATCCCAGTCGGGTTACGGGGGCTAGGCTAAAGATACGGCTCCAAGTCAGTGTGGGCCCACCCCCAAGGTATTAGAGCTTTGTCCTCCCCAGCCAATCCCAGCTGCAGGTTGACCCCCAACCACCAGGTGCTATTGGCATCAGCATGCCAGGTGCAAGTAGGTGAACTGGAGACGTCCTGTCCTTGTCCAGAGCCTGTCAGACCCCCAGACATGCAAAGGACACAGCAGTCCCCTTCAAGTCTCATTTCTGTCACCCCCCAAGAAGCCACACCAGTATTTCAATTCACTGCTAACAGGTCTGGGTGGGCACCAACACCTGCTATAGCCCTTAAGGGGCATCTAAAGCCACTGCAAAAACATTTCCCAAATCCTTCAGGCAAATTAAATATGGCAATCTGAAATAAAAATACCTGTCACTTGGGGAAAATCCCAAGAGGAAATTTATATATTTGAGGCAGAATGAAGAGAGACAGAAACCTGTTACTTTTCCTCCCATTTCCCATAAAATATATTGTAAAAGAAATTTAAAGGAGAAACATAAGAGTGAACTTACCAGTCCTCAGTGGTTTCAAGGACATGAGAAATTTCAAACTGGTTTCTCCAGTTCTCTAGGACTACAGAATGGTCCCTAGTGGATGTAATTCTCTCTTGTATCACCATGGTAACAAAAGGTGCTCAGTATATTTTGACTTGACTCAAAAGAGGGAAGACCATGGTGAACCTTTAATCAACTGTTCTAGGTATGACGTGTGTTTGAGAATGAATACATCCCTTGACTTGTTCCCACAGTGGGAAAGTTTAATAAACAGCCCTAAGGGGCTGGGGATTTAGCTCAGCGGCAAAAGCGCCTGCCTGGCAAGCGCAAGGTCGTGAGTTCGGTTCCTGGTACCGGAGAAAAACCAAAAAAAATAAAAAATAAAAAAATAAACAGCCCTAAAGCAAATGCTGGCTGAGAGTACCCCTGGCATCAGTGAGGCTGAGCTGAGCGTGGGGACTGAAGATGGGGCTGGTGGATGAGGCCTCTTCCACTCAGGCAGAAGAACAAGGGAGTCCTCATCACTAAAGAAGGAAGGGAGGCCTGCCATCAGGGCACACCCACCCCCTTTAGTTCCACTTCATTTCACTTCATGTGGACAAAGCAAATAAAAGCTGGTGGCCAGAATCACAGTTTAAGAGAATAGTGGTATTTCTGGGGAATCCGACCCAAGACCTTTGCAGTCTCCAAGTTCACAAGCACCACGATGGAAAATGTAGGTCACTTCTATACTCCAAATGTTCATTCACTCAGAGATAAAGCCCACAGAGCACTGGTGTGAGAGAGACCCTGCCCTCAAACGTCTGCCTCACAAGCAATGCCGAGTCTTAGCCAAATGCAACCTGCCTCAGGCCCTGAGCTTCCCGTCCCCTGTGAAAACCACAAATGCCATGGGCAGCCTCCAACACAAAAGCTGGACTACCCTGCAATCTTGAGATGAGCCAGCAACCTGGGCCCACTCGAAACATCTCTGAAACAATCCTGGGATAAAAAGGACCTCCCAAGAATTAAGACTTGAGTCAGGGCTTGCTGGATGTCTGAAGCCACCTCTGAGGCAGGAGATAATGGTTCCAGAACATTCTGGAAATTTCCATCACAACCAGAGCTTTAGAGCTTGTCAACATGCTGATCACATTCACTCACATTCAAGTCTCCTGTTGGGTGTAAATACTTACATCATTTTCTAAAAAATTAAACATGCTTCTTTCAGCCAACTCCTTTGACTCTTCAAACTTTTCTACCGCTTGTCTGACTTCTTCGTCTGGAATCTTACCTACTCGCTTCTTTTTATAATCGTAATCCAGGCGGCGGCCCTCCAGCTTTTTCAGGTGGTGCTAAAAAAGGAGGAAAGAGGATGTCAGAGAAGGGCACATGCACAATGGGCACAAAATAGTCTTTGTTATGAGAACAGTCATCCCCTCTTCTCAGTGCAAATGCCTGAGGAAGTGACCACCAGGTCACTGGTAGGCATCTCTGCCCTCTAGGGGGTCAAATGTCCATGAGCAAGTGTTCAGGAGCACTGCAGAGCAGACAAATCAATGGGAGGGGGTTGGCAGAGTGAACCAGTGCCTATGTGGGACACAGGACATGGGATTCACAGCTAGGCATAGTGGCCCACACCTGTAATTCCAGCAACTCTGGGAGGCTGAGGCAGGGCAATTGCAAGTTCAAATCCAGCACAACTAAACAAGTTAGCACAATCCTGTCTCAAAAATAAAAGTACAAGAGGGGCTGGGGATTTAGCTCAGTGGCAAAAGCGCCTGCCTGGCAAGAGCGAGGTCATGAGTTCGGTTCCTGGTACCGGAGAAAAACCAAAAAAATAAAAAAATAAAAATAAAAGTACAGGAGCTGGGGACTGGGAATGTAGCTCAGTACAAAGGCCTTAGTTCAATCCCCAGTACTGAAAAAAAGGAAGGCAAATGGTGGGGCCCAAGCCAGACCCATTGAATTCAGTGTTTCAAAAAGATGTGTGTGCCCATGAAAGCTGGAGAAACGCTACTCTCAAAAAACCTCACAGCTGCCCTAGTACGGGCGGGTAAGCACCATAGTACAAACAGCCACTGACGTGGTTGTGACAGATGTTGGACTTTTTCATGCTTATTTCTTCTCCTTAAGGTGACAAAATTGATGTTTTAAAATTAACATATTGGGCCAGGTACGGTGGCCCATGCCTATAATCCCAGCACTCTGGGAGGCTGAAGCAGGCAGATTGTAAGATGGAGCACAACTTGGGCAGCTGATTGACTTAATCAGACCCTGCCTCAAAATAAAAACTAAAAAGGCCTGGAGATGTAACTCAGTGCAAAGGCCCTGGGTTCAATCCCCAGTACAGTACTGACCACAAAAAAAAGGCAAGAAAAAGAAAAAAGATGCTCAGATACCATCTTCCAACCTTCTTTATAAGTTCCCCTCATTTCAGCTCTAGTGACATCCAGAGAACTTCTAAATATATTAATCATACAAAAAATAGGGACTTTTTGGCATTACTGTCTGCTCTTCACCAAGAGACTAAAAACACACATTTCTAGTGCACGTGGTCTAGGGTATTTACGACTCTTCCTTAAAGTTCCCAAACAATTATAGAAGTTGTAAAAAGTGCTATCACTGAACACAGAGGAGACGTGGCACACCAAGCTGAGGCGTAAGTATACTGGCGTCTTTGCGCAGGCACAACGGAAGACACCAAGTGGGCCTGGTGACCCGGAAGTGCCCCTGTTCGGTCTTTCTGGTCCTCTTCGGTGGGCTTCCGCTCGGGTGTAGACCCACTGCGGCTAGCACACTGAAGTCCAGAGGAGATAGTGGGTCGGAACAGTGCAGTCGCTGTGGAGTATACATGGCCCTCCTCACCGACCTCAAGAGGTGAAGTGATTCCAACTTCAAGAAAAGGATCCGAGAACGAAGAAAGAAACGGAAGTCTGCCAAGGAGAGAGCTGGGCTTTGCAAGTTACCCGACCTTAAAGATGCTGAAGCTGTTCAGAAAGTTTTCCTTGAAGACATTCAGCTTGGTGAAGAGTGGCTGGCTCAAGGTGAATATCCACCCATGTTCCAGGTGCTTCTCACTAAGCTCCCAACAGTTAGAGAACAATTAGAGGAGTGTAAGTGCCCAGAGCTTGGCTGAAGACGGTGTGGAATGAAAACAAATCTCAACATAACAAAATCTCAAAAAGATTTTTAAAATTCTAAGCTCAGAAGTTGAACAACTGGGGGAATAAGGGAAAATATACTTGTTAATGGACTGTCCTACACTGAAATCTACCAAAGTTAATGTTTATTTTGTGTAGATCCATTTGTCTATTTTTTTTCCCAGTGAGAAGTGTATTTTCATAGAGAGCTTTCCATTTTATAAAACCACTGTGAGTTATCAAAATACAAATTTTGTTTATTCCTTAGACCTGCAGTTAAAATGTACATATATCATTAAAAAAAAAACCAGTGCTTAGTTTTAAAGAACAGGCAAAAGGGCTGGGATTGCCCCGGAATATAAAGTACTTGTCTAGCATTCATGAGGCCTTAGTTTTGGCCTCAGCACCACAAAAAAGGAAAACAAAATAGAAAATCTCAGGCTCTGTGTCATCCATGTGTTTAAGTTTGATTTGTTCAGTTTCTACTTCAAACAGCAGCTGAGTTACAAGAAGTCACTTAGGAAATTATCTGGCTGCAGAATGAACTGCAAGACTTAAGACTGGGTGTCATTTACACACTGCTTACACTTACAGTGTAGGATGCACATCCATGCTCAATGCCCTACGGGACTAGGATGAGGAAAAGACTCCATCAGCATCAGCCTTTGCAGAGGCCTCCTGCAAGGTCTGCAGCTCAAGAAAAATGGAAATGCTGCCTTTGGGTGGTGGAAGGGTCCGGTCCTGGGGAAGGTGCCACAGCATCTCTGCTCTTGGATGCCATCTTCGCCCTGGGTTCATCCAATCCGTCATAATAGAGAGCATAGAATGTGGCAGGCATGTGGCTCCAACAGCAAAGCCAGCATGGTCCCCACCCCGAGGAAGTCACCACGCAGCCAGAGAGAAAGACAAGCAGGATGCCGGCGGTTGGATGCACGACACCTCACTGAGCCCCAGAGGAATCCAGAGAGATGACAGAGCCAACGTGGGCCCCCAAGAGCTGCAGACAGCGCAGGGGGATGGTGAGACACAGAGCAACGAGATCAGAGGGGTGGGTGCTATTGGACCATCACTCCAGGTCAGCCCTGGCCGTGTGTGGAGAACAGTGAGGTGGGGGTGGGCAGTGCTGTTCAAGAGGGGCCAGCAAAGAAGGGGGAAGAAGGGCTGAGATACCCGGTGGGCAATGGGGTGTTTCAGGAGTTCCTGGAAGGCAGCTTTCTTTTTTTTTAGTACTGGGAATGAAACCCAGGGCCTTCTCCCCTGCCTTTTTAATTGTTTTTGTTTGCTTGCTTGTTTTTGAAACTGTCTTGTTAGTTGCTAAGCTGCCCAGGTTGAGCTCACATTTACGGTCCTCCTGCCTCTGCCTCCCAGAGTGCTGGGATAACAGGCTTCTGCCACCGCAGTCCACTCAGCTTTCGTTTTTCATTCCACCCCCATGGTCCCCATGGAGCACCCTTTGCTTTCAGTATGGATGGTAGATCTGAAACAGGGACCCAGGGTTCTCATGGGTCTCCAGCCTTCACTCCTTCCACTGCTACTTGCCCCTGGCACCCTGGGTCCTGGACACACACACACAGGACTGCTCTCCAGCCCCGCCCTCTGGCCAGCACACGCTGGGTGAGCTGCCTGTCCAAGTCAGCCTGGCCACCTGTTCTTCTTCCAAGGCCTTTGCAGACCCAGCCAGGCCAGGGAGGCGGCCAGGCTTGGGTCCCTGGGTCTGCCTCTCCAGCAACACCTGTTGTCATGTTCTGTAGCTACTGGCTGTCTCTCCGCCCCACAAGGGCATGCACCAGTGCTTACGTAGCAGCACTGGCCATGCCTACCCTGGTGGTAGGGTACAGGGGGCCTGAGTTACACCTCTGAGTGAATGAATGAATGAACCAGTGAAGAACCAATGAGCTGGCACCCGTCAGCTCCCTCCCTTCTCCACAGCTGCCACAGGCCCTGCCTGGCCCCCATCCTCACCGTCCCTGTCACACAGGCTGGACCCCTGGGGTTCACATCTCCCAGGCAATACCTCTGGAAAGGATGGGCTGGAACAGGGGTGAGCATCCGAGCCACGTTCATAGAGCACAGACCACTGGGTTCATTCCAGAGTCTGGGCTGGGGCGGAAGCATGTGCCTTTCTGAGTGAGCGATACAAAGCCCACACTTTGCAAATCACTGAAACTAAAGAGTGAAAAACAGGACATCCACTTGGATCGGTGACTTCGAAGTTGCCCTGAGCTGCAGTTGGATCGGGCTTGAAGGCACTGGGAGGACGATCTTCTGGGTAGCCCCAGAAGAGGCCGCCTGGATCCCCAGAGAGATAGAATGAATGTCCTGGGGCTGTTTTTCACATCTACAAAAATGCCACCAAGCAGGGAGTGTGCAATTCCCTGCAGGGACCTGGAAGTTGCCACGTATGTTCTGGACAGCCATTCTTAACAGTCTTCCAGGTAAAAACCTTCAACTCCTAGACACTGATTTCCTTGAGAAGTAAAGGAACATAAAAACCACCACAGCAATGTATCCAAAAATGCAAAGAACATATATGATTTTGGTAATCAAAATTGTACTGCGGAATTATGGAGTAATTTCATCATAGGAGAAATGGGTGCAAATATATGGATGGTTAGCCAGGCTCCCAGCGGGCTCCAGGGAGATGCAGTTTTAAAGCTGGGGAGCGTCGAGTACGTTCCCACCCCGCCTGCACAGCGGACAGGTCTAACTAATCCATACGGCCCAGGAAAACAACTAAGCACTGTTACCACCCACAGTGCAAGGACGCTTTCTCTGAGTCCCTGCAGAAACTGCTAAGGATTTTAAACATAAGCATCCTTCTAAGTAGGAACAGGTTGGTTTGCAGCCTGGCAGACTTACCCCAATCTCTCTTAAATCTTTATCTTGGAGCAACTGAAGTGGATCGATAAAAGTTTGCTTCACGTTAATATCAAGAGAGTCTTTCACCTCAGCCATCAGCTTCATGGACTCGCCAACCTCAATCAACGCGTTGCCTTCAAAAAATACGAACAAAAACAAGAAAATGCTCCGAGTTAACTATGATATTTTAAAAAATCAATTCCCAAAACTTTGTGCCTGATGGCGTAACAAGCCACTCGCTTCATCATCTTTGGGTTTTCACTCGAAAAAGTAGGAAAAAACGTGAAAAGATATTCCTATTTTTCCTCCTACATTTTCCTCTCCACTTTCTGCAGTTCACCTCCACCTGAAACTAAACACGCATCTGATGGAAGCACTCGTCACTCTGGCCGCTAGGTGGCAGTCAAACTCCTTTTAAAGCCCAGTCCTCTTGCAACCTGGCACCAAGGGCTCCTTAGAAGCTGGGGAGTAAAATCTCTCTTTGTAAACAATGAAAGGATTCATTCACCAGCGGCTAAGTGTTAACGCAAGGCTATCACAATAGAAGTAAAGAAAGGCTCATCTCAGCTTCTGGCTGTGGGGTCTTCTAGGAGCTGCTATGCACCCCTGAGGATGCTCGTGTTACCCACGGGGGCTGTCAGCAGGTTCCTGCACAGAGCCCCAGCCAGCCCTCCTGGGCCTGGGCAGTGACAGGCAGGCTGGGCTGGGTTACGCCCCCTGGTGTGTTGTCCAGCTAATCTGCAGTAATGGGCAAGATTTCTGCAATCCAAGGGTCCCGGGTGTTGGACATAGTGAGGAAGCTGGGGAGTAAAATCTCTCTTTGTAAACAACAAAAGGGTTGTTTGGTCCTCTAGAAGGACCAAATGCTAGAAGGATTGTGGGTCCTCTAGAAGATGCCCCACGAGATGCTGTACTAGACTGAACTGCTTTTCTTCTATTTGGGGTCTTCCAAACTGGTTTGGTAAAACAATGGTCTGTCAATTCCTACCCTTGAGAGCCCAGCCCAAGCCTAACCTTTCACAGCCAGTCCAGGACATGGACAATATATTCACGTGGAAAACAGGGAAGCATCTCAGGGCATAGCCTCACTTGGGACAGGAAAGACTATCGGTCCCCCAATGCCTCTGACATCGGCTCTCCCCGGACCCACGTTCCTGTAGGAAGACGGGCACCTGGAAACTACCCAGCTGTCCGGCTGTCTCGTCCACCACCTGGCCAGGTGTCCCCTTGGCTCCTGGCCCCTGCCTGATGGTCACCTGTTCCTTCTGTGAAGTACCTTCAGGTAAGAAAATTAGGAATAAAACAAACTCCACATTATACTGCACTGGAGGATACTGTTACCCACTGCCACTAGTTAATTAATGTTCTAACCCTGCAGATTTTTTCCAAATTTTCAAAAGATTTCCCCCCAATTTCCTAGAATAATTACGATAGCTAAATGATGGATTTCTCAATTTCCATACCCTGCCTCACTGGCACTACATGAACAGCAGCAATACTGTGGTCTCCTGGAAGACTGAATATACTAAATTCAATGCACCCTCAATTTAGTTTATTAATTTAAATAAATATCAATAAGTATATAATGAGTCCCTGTTTTTTTTTAAAGAGGGAGAGGAGTTAAAATGACTTACATGTCATCTGGCCAAATAAAAATGTTAAATATGTCTGTAATTTTAAGTAGGGGCAATTTTAGTAAAATGTATTTTTAAAACACTTTAAAACTACAGTACTTAAAACAACATGACACTGGATCAAAACAGGATATGGATGGAGAAACAAGAAAAAGGATGGAAATAAACTTTAAAAAATAAAAATTTAGTCTATAATGAAAGGATCATCTCTAAACCACAGGGGAAGTTGGGCTTTAGTAAAGTGCTGGGACCACTTGGGATTTTGTTTATTAGAAAACAAAGTTAGAACTCTGCTGCATAGCATTGCCAATAAACTCAGGTGCTGGGAAATTTGAACAGAAGAAAAATTAACATATGTATCAAAAGAAAGTAGAAATAAACATTTATACAGTCCCCAAGGGGGTGGGATGGAAAAGATTTTCCACACGTGATGCCAAATCAGAAAGCATACAGGAAGACTAATGAGTTCCACTAAATACAAAATAAGACTCTTTCTCTATAAAGGCAGGTCAGACGGTGGCACCACCTGGGGAAGGTCTCAGCGCAGGAGGCAGGCAAAGAGCCAGGGTCCTGCTCCTCTGCTCAGAGATCAACAAGGGAAACAGGGAAAGAACACGAACACACACAGTTCTGGAAAGCCGTGGATGACAAACACAAGGAGCGAGATTCTACCTCACTGACATAATCTGAAAGTGAAATGAAACAAAAGAAAACAATACGCTGTATTTCAAATTATCAGTTATTTAAAAGCTGTGTTGGGAAACAGACTCTCATACACTCCTAGCAGGACTGCAACAGCCCTTCTGAAGAGCCACTGGGGATAGGTTCCAAAGGATCTGAAAAAGCCAGCCCTGGTGACACACGCCTGTAATCCCAGCATTCTAAGGGGCAGAGGCAGGAAGATGTCAAGTTCTTGTGCAGTCTGAGCAATTTAATGACCTAGTGAGACCCTGTCTCAAAAATAAAATGGACAGTGGGATATGGATGTAGCTCCATGTGAAGGTCCTGGGTTCAGTCACCAACACTGAAAAACACTGATAACTAGGTATACTTTTAAGCCAGTAATTTTACTACTGGGAATTTCAACTAATAGCAGCAGGAAACGTCAGATATTTCCAAAAATTTCCTTATGAAAATGGCAAATTTTCAGGATCTAGAGCAAGCAGAGGAGCTTGCTCTAGATCCTGTCATAAATGCTGTGCAAAAACTTTACATGAAGAAAAACATACGACATGATAAATTGAGATGGTTAAACAAAATATGTCAATGGAATATTATGCAAGCTTTGAAAGCAATATTATAGAAGATTGGATATTTTATGGCTTGGCTCAAGATATAAGCAGTAGAAAAAACCAGGTTACAAAAGTGTACATATACTATAACCCTATCCACATTTTTAAAGGTGTATGTGGAAACATGCAAAAATAAACAAAAGATACAGAGGATACAAGGAGTTTAATGACACTGGTCGGGGACTGGGATTATGGGTGGTGGTAATATTCCTTTTATTTCACTTGCCGGTTTTCTAACCCTCCTGCAGTGATCATGCATTACTTGGTACTAGGAAAGAAAACTCTAACAAGCAGAAGTTACTGTGCACAGCTGCCCTCCTCCCGGGCAGCCCAGCGCTCACCAAAGGTGGAGTCCTCCCCGAGCTCCCTGCCGTACTTCAGCATGCAGTCTCCCAGCAGCCCCTCCGTCTGCGGGTAGCCCGTGGTCTTCACCTGCCCTCGGATCTTCGACACAGTGTTCAGCATTCCTAGCTTAGCTCTGTATGCTTAAAAACATCATCATTTGTAATTCCTTAAAGTTACCAGGTCTCGGGGAGGGGGCGCAGGAACACAACATTTAACAAATGCAGCTGCCCAAGTGGAGGTCACCTTATGCAAACACCAGAAATCTAAGGGTGCAGGGAGCCTGAGCGACCTGTTTCATTTCCACAGGACTTGCGGGATTGTCTACGGAGGTGGATGCCAAGCTTGCTGTCACATACCCACGTGGAACACAGAAACGAGAGCCCATGTAGTCTCTCAGTAATAGCAGGCAGGGCTATGGTAAGTCACCCCCGGGGAGCCACCTGGGAACACTTGGATTACCTACTCCCTAATGACAGACACAGACACCTGTGCTGACCATTTTTGCAGAGACCCAGTGTACACCAAAAATAGAATTGGGAGGTGGATGCTTCAAGCTGCCAACTGGTCACTAATACCCTCACCCTGCGCCTCAAGGTTGATTCAGAGGAGTGATATCCGAGGTCACGAAGGTGTCAGAGGCAGGAGAAGGTGACAGACCCTGTCCGCTTCTGTTCTCTCCTCTACTTAGGCAATGCACAGCACTAATTCCTGGCCTGTGTGACACACTGTGCACTCCCAGGAGCCCAGAGGACCCTGTGATTTCCAGATCTGCCCTCGAGGAGCTCACAGCCTAGTTACATAGGGAGGCAGAACATATAATTGTGGAAATAAAGTCCAGGGTGGCGCAGGGGAAGGCAAAGATGTCAACATGCTCGAGAAAGACTGAGACGCTCCTACAACGTGCAGGAAGCAGCGCCAGTAAAGTGCAGAAGAGACAGCTGTGGTACCATCGATGGACAGGGAGTGGGCTGGTTTGATCTGAAGAGAAATTACTACAGAACACAAGGAGAGGCATCCGGGGGAAAGTGACTGTCACTGAAACCCCAAGCTACCTGTTTGAGATTCCATTCTCATTCTGTAGCTTCTGGAATTAGATACTTATTTTTAATGCATTCGAGACTAGTGTTTATCAAACTTTAACATGTGCAAGTAAGCCAGGAACTTGTTAGAAGGTAAAGTCTGATTCATTTGATCTGAGGTGAGCCCAAGATCGTGTTTCCAGCAATTTCCCAGGGGATGCTGGTCCTGCTGGCCCATGGACCAAACTTTGAGTGTCAAAGGCTTAGGCAGTCAGTGTCAGCCTTTCCAGCCTTGCCAACCTCAGCCGCAAAACACTGATCGTCCAGGTGCCGGGCCCAAAAGATACAAAGAGTTTAATTCCCTACCACACACACAGTAACACACATGTGCCCCCTACCTCCTACACACTGTCAGAGCGGGTGTGCTGTGCACCAAGTGAGACCCACCAATTCCCAGAGACCTCTGGTCAGAGGACACTTTCACGGCTGGCTAGGTCTCCCCCCATTCCACCAGCAGCTCTTTTGGGGTTGGCATCTCTGACAGTTTATTCCTGCACCCCAGAAAGTCTCTAGTGCAGGGGAGGCATTACATATTTATGGGCTGAAGGCAAAGGAGTTCATGGTCTCAATCACTTGATGAGGCCAGGGCTCCCTGGATATATTTGATGAAACTTAAATTTCTTCAATTTTCACCTTCTCAATTTTAAGATGGTTATGTCTGTGCTGATTCCTACAACCAAAGGAATTACAGTATCTACATGCCAATAGTTAAATTCATAGTAAAAATTAAAGGCAGCATCAGAAATTCACGGGGCTTGGGGCTTGGGCGCCCCCTATTGGTTTGTATAACTGACAACCTAGTAAAATGGGGCACGCTGCGGGAGGACCCAGGAATTAAGAATTTTCTGTGGAGAAGCTGAGGTAACAGGGGACCCTCTCGTGTTGTTTTTCAAATTTATCACACTTTTTTTCTTTAGCATGTGACTGGTAGCATAAAAACCCTTTCAAATTAATACACAGGGTGGAAGAACAGGGCCCTTTAGAACAGGATGGGAGAGATTTTTTAAAGAGGAAATAACTAAGAAAACATTCACAAAACATTTGGCAGCTTTCAGAAGCACCTCACAGGTGTCTTTGCTCAGCGCTGGCTGAGGCGCATGCTCAGGCCAACAGGCCATCCCAGTGTGCGCAGTGGATTCAGAGGTGCTGCTGCTGCTCACCAGGGAGAATTCACTTTACTACTTCGAGTTCCTGGAGACCCAGCTCTTAAAAACTGAATTTCATCATCTGAGCATGGCAGGGGAGCTTGCTCTAGATCCTGTCAACCAAATGCCAAGTATACTGCGGTTCTTAGAGTCTGTGATAGCGAATAAGTAACCAAATATTTCAAGACATTTTCTCACGTTACCTGGATTTGGCTGAAGGTATTCAGTGGCTTTTGAAAGAATTTCTGCAACCGCTTTATTGGTAACATCTATTTTCTTAAAAACAAGACAAAACACACAGAGATGTTAGTAAGCGGAAAATTCAGTGAGTTCACTAAACAGAGAAGTGATCTTCATTAATTTAATACTTTTAACACCACTGTGATAACTGTAATCCAAATGAATGTTTTCAACATTTTGGGAAGAGGCATTATTTTCTCAGGTTTTGATATTGGGTATCACTTCTTCTCAATGACATTGGAGAACACTATTTTCCTTCTTAACATTAAAATGAATAATAATGTAATATTTACAGAACTAGAAAAGCTATTACTTCCCATTGAATGACTGGATAGACTTGAACATTTCCAAACTTACCTGATCTGCTAGGTGAACCTAAACATCTATGCTTGTCTAAGGGTACCATAATAATGATTCATATTAGAAAATAACTCTAATTAACAAGAGAATCATAAATATTAGTATTATAACTGAAGAAAATATGTTCAGTTATGCTATATTGGAGGATGTTCACATTAAAGATTTCCCTGCCGGTTAAGATTGAACCTTTCCTTTTTCAAAAACTTTCTGGTTGCTCGTTAACAGAGAATATACCATAGAGTTAAATATGCAAATTTCAGTAGCTTTATTTTATACCAGTAGCCCACAAGAAAATGTAAAGGAAAAGGAGATTTCCATTCATAAGAGCAATAAAAATATGCTGAGTAACAGTGGATAAATCCTATGAGAAACTCACAGTAACCACCAGAAAACCACATCTCTTGATGGGAAAATTTAATTTTGGAAAGATGTAAATCTTCCCCCAAATTAACATGTAAAATTAATTTAAGTCTCATTACAGTTTCAACTTTTTTCTTTTTGGGTTAAAAGCTGGAAAATTCATAATAAAATTAGATTCATATTGCACGCTAAATTTAAAATGCTGACTTATAAAAAATATAAAACAAAAAGGAGAGTGTTTTAAAATACTGGAATAGGAAGAAGTTTCTACGCTTGACTGGGAACTCTAAAGTCATAAATAAAAAGACCAAAATTCTGACTACAAAAAATTAGAAACTAAACAAGGAAAGATACCATCTTGTATGGTGAAGCTCTGCATCATTTTCAAAGTTATTGGGTTTTTTTGGTTTTGGGGGGTTTTGTTTTGTTTTGACTTGTTACTGTCTTTGATTGTTTGATCAATCTTACATTCTTATGTCTAGGGGACCTAGCAACTTGGCTGAAGATAACAGTATGTAATGTAGCAACCACTGTAAATTCCTATCATTGTGTTTTGAGGTCATGTATTATTTTTGTTGTTTTGATTTCATCATCATAATTGTTTTGTCAGTTTTTTAATTTTTAAAATAAAAAATACATGATTTGAGCAAAAAAGAAAAGCTGCAAACAAAAAAGTCTTCAAAGGACAAAGGTTACCATCTATAGCACACAGAATTCCCATTAAAAATAAATAAATAACAAGAAGGAAGAAGAAAAAGAAAATATACTGGCAATCTACAAATGAGAAAAAAAAACACAAATTGCTTGCAAACGTCTGACAAAATATTCAGAATTGTTAATTAAAAAGAACAGGGCTGGGGATATGGTTCAGCAGCACAAGCACCTGCCTGGCAAGCACAAGGTCCTGAGTTCAAGCCTGGTGCCCTCCCCCCAAAAGAGCTTACACTCATCAGATTGACAAAAAATGTGTTTAAGATCAGTGATACCCAGTATTACGTATTATACAGGCGTGGAAAGATGGACTGTTTCATGTAAGATGGAAATGCAAAAGTGTAAGTGCCCATTATTAGGGCTGTTGACCTGCTGGCTATGCTATTTCTAGAGATTCATCACATAGACACACAACGGCAAATGGTAGTATTTCAGAAGGGTGCCTGTTTATCCCTTCTGCATAGTACTGACAGTACTGGAATCAAAAGCACAGAAATTGTAATCAATAGGAGACAACTGGATAAGCTGAAATATTCAAGTTAAGAGATATTCTGCAGTCATGTGAAAAAATAAAAAAATAAGAAAGATGTATATGCAGTGGGGAAATGCCCATTGCACACTGGCAAAGAAGACAGCAAGATGTAGGGTGATTTGCAATGAAAACGTTTACTTTTTAACTTAAAAACTATGCTCTAGTAAGGGTTCCAAGTTTTCAAATGACAAATTAATGAAAAAATTTACCCCAAAAGGGATGTCTAACTTTGGAGCTTCTGAGAAATTTAAAAAACAGTACAGAAACAGTCAAAAATGACTCAAACCCACTGATGATACTTGAATAATGTGTGTGTGTGTGTGTGTGTGTGTGTGTGTGTGTGCATGTGCCTCTGGCCTCATAACAAGTTATAAATTTGAACTTCCTCTAGAATATTCAGCTGTATATGAAAATCTTTTTTGAAATATTTAAGAGAATTTTTCACCACAACATTTATGGGTGTTACAAGAAATATAAGTGCTTGGGAAAATTCTGCTTCAGGTTTGAGAGGAAGTTTGAAGTAATCCTATACATTGGGGTAGTGATTGCAGTTTGAGACCCTACAATTTGGTCAACATGAGACTGGTGGTAATATTTAAGGACTGAGTCTCTCAAGGTGACGAGTTAATGGAACTTGAAGATAAAAAATTATTGTTTTATATCAAATCACTGTATTTATAAATAAGGATTTTTAGATTTTTAATTTTAATAAATTAAATGTTAATTAAAACACAGCCCAGAATGTTCCCTTTGATGTACTCAACCCTCTGTGGATGTGGAGCATCTTCCAAAGAGGACAACAACAGGAATCAGAGAGGGAAAGAATTTACAGATCAGATCCTTCCATGTCATTGAAAAAAAATGCTGGGAAACAAATCACCAAAAATAAGTTCCTACCGCAGAGGCCCTGACAGGCACACACCAAGCTGCTTCCAGCTCAAACCCAGCATCAAAACTGGCATGCTCATGCACTGTAATCCCAGCACTCTGAGACACTGAGGCAGGAGGATCTCAAGTTTGAGCCCAAGCTGGACAACTTAGGAAGACCTTGTCTCAAAAAAAAATTTTTTTTTTTGTTTTTTTGAGACAAGGTCCCAGCAGTTCAGGCTGGCCCTGAGCTCACTTTGTAGCCTAGGCTACTCTTGAACTCCCAATGATCTTCCTGCCTCAGCTTCCCAAGTGCTGGGATTATAGGCATGTGCCACCATGCCCGGCTTAAAAAAAAAAAAAAAGAAAAAAAATTTAAAGACTGGAGATGTAGCTCAATGTGAAGCCCCTAGGTTCAATCGTCAGTACTAGAAAAAAATCTGGAAACAAAACTTTTCTGATCATAGAGGGTGCCTGCTGCACAAGCTGGCAAATGTGAGTGGTCAAGATGAACACAGAAAGAATAACTTGGGTAGATTAAAAGCGAAAAACTCCAACCCCCCTATTAGAATGAGTGGGGATATTGTGTGTGTGTGTGTGTGTGTGTGTGTGTGTGTGTGTGTGTGTGTGTGTTGAGGCTAACTAACGTGATGGAAATATTTTGGTACACCATCAGGAAACACAGGGAAGCAGAGAGGTGAAAGTCCTTTCCACCAAGCCCCCATGGCGCAGAATCACATGCACCAGCGGACTGAGCCAGGAGCCCCCTCTTGTCGTCATCACCTTACCCACACAGTGTCCAAAACCCATCCTCATTCCCCCTGCCATTGACCCAGCCCTCTCACAAAATTTGCAAAGAATTTGACTTTTACATTTGGGGAATACAGACCTCTGTATCTGTTTATCATCAAAGTTATTAACCAAATTTTACGCAAATCTCCCATGAGCCCATTGATAATTATGTTTAATCCGTTATTTTATGAGAGGTATGTGAAGCCTTCTATTCTGATTTTTGTCATTTCTTTGTGTATTTTTGAAAGGTTTCATTTGCCTATAGTACAAAATAGTTTATAACTTTTATCATTTACTGACAAGCTACACCAACTTCATCTTATAATTTTTTTAAGGAAAGCTTTTATTTTCCCATTCAGTGCTTTTCTGCATCAAATTACACGGATGTTACTATTGTTCCCCTATATTTTATGGTACGCATTTGTCACGGTACATTTTTCCATTAATTTGTCATTTATGAATTACGTTTTGAGTGAGTCTGATATTGTCTAATATATCACTCCAGAAAGTCTTAAAAACTTACAGTAAAATGTTATAGATTTCCTTGATTTTCACTGGTGGAGTAAAATAGATAATATATTTTACCTTCATAGTTTTTCTGTCACATCTCAAATTTTTGGAGAGAAAAAGAGGTAAATAAGAGCAACCTCAGTCCATCAAGTGAAACTGTAACTCCTGAAAGATGCCGTCACGTTTCTCATTTTAACGGAATCATTTTGTAGGTGATGATGCCACATGTACTACCTCTGCACGTTAAGCAAATTCTAAAAGTAATTTCAAGTATATCAATGATGTGAAAATGCTTCCATGATTTTCACTTTGAAACACTTATTTTTTTTCTAAGTAAAAACAATTACTTTTTCTAAGGCATTCGTATTTCTTTAATTTTTGAACAACTCCATCTTTATTATATTAGTACATTTTAGATTATACATAATGATACCATTCATCATAGGGAATTTGTACTTGTACATGATATATCTTGCTTCTTTTTTTCCCATTCCCCTCTCCTCCCTTCAGCCCCTCTTCCCCTCCCAATTTACAAAAGCTTTGTTTATATTTTTGCCTTCTATTTTCTTCTTGTCCCTTCTTTCCTTCTCCCATCCTCCCTTTTTCTCCTTCCCATTTGAACATTTTCTTCCCATTTCCCAATATCTATTATACCTTTTGCTCTTTATTTACCCTTTAGGTTTCTCATACCAGAAAAACCATGCAATATTTACATATGTGTGTCCAATTTATTTCATTTAAGAGTATGGTCTTGAGGTGCATCCATTTAACTAGAAATGTCTCAAGTTTATCCTTCTTTATGGCACAGTAGTACTCTACTGTATAAAAGAAATCACATCTTCTTTATCCATTTATCAGCTGACGGGCATTTGGGCTGTTTCTAAGATTTAGCTAATACAAAATG